GGAACATCACACCGTCAGTGATTGGCTGGTGTGATGGCACGTAGCAAGAAGAGCTTTTCAGCAAGATGGAGAGACACTCTCTGTTCTCTGCCCTGGGCCCCTGAAGCACAGATTCAGCACCATTTAATGCAGTTATTACACCTAAATTATCATCCTTAACTTGTCTGTTGATTCGACAAACATCTGCTGAGTGCAGCTTACTATGTATCAGGCACAGATCAGGCACTTAGTAACTGTTGGCAGAATGAAAAAATGGAACCTCACTTAGCCTGTGAGAATGCAGTGTGAGTATGTGCATGTGTAGGGGGCATAAGTGGAGGATTTAAAAAAAAAAAAAAAAAGGTGTTGCTGGAGCTAAATTTTGAAAGATGAGTAGGAGTTACCCCAGTGGATAAGGAAAGAAAAGGCATTCCACGAAGAGATAAAAGCACATGTCAAGGCATGAAGCTATATGGGGACGCCATCATGGCTCAGATGGTATGAAACTAGCCTGAGTGCTGGATAGAAATCGGCAAGGAAACCTGCTTTTACATAAGAATTAGCATCAGCCCAAAGAATTGATTTGAGATAGTATGCTTAAAATATTTCATTAGAAGCAAATATGTATTTGGATTTCAGGGAAAAAAAAAAACAAACCAACAATCCAGAGATTTGGATTTTCTGAGGCCGGAAAGAGTGATAGCCCTGATAAGTCGTAGGGCTGACCAATGAGTTCGCTGCTTGGCCTTAGGACAGGAAACTCTTCTCCACAGCCCAAGAGCTGGTAGATGGTGACTGTAGTGAATCACTGGGGCTTCCCCTCTAGGGGCACCCATAAGCCTGGTTAGGAGGCTCAAAGAGAGAAGAAGTGAGAGCGAGAGAAGACCCCAGTAAGATGAAACATTTCCCAAAACCAAATCAAGTTCATGTATGTAAAAGGACTTTGTAAACTGTATAAGGGACTGGATTATTATAGGAAGCCAGGAGTATGGTCATTTCACTCAAAGCATGTGGGTAGAAAGTAAATTTGGCAGGGCAATGGCAAGGAGTGGCTGCCAGAGGAGGCAGAAAACAGCAGTTGAGTTTCAGTGACACTTTGGAAAAGGAATACTCTACATTGATTCCTGTAGATACATTGTAAAGCTGTAATTTTCCCCTTATGTTTCTTACTCTTTATAATAAATGATTAGAGAAATGCAGACTGATTCTACATGAACTCCTCAAGGGCAAGGAACTCTCATATTTATCTAGCATAGTGCCTGGCAAGTAGGTAGCACTTAGTAAATGCATGTGGGTCTCTGAGGGGATTGCTCAAAGCAGGGGGATGGGGTTGGAGTGGGAAGTTATAATGGGAAAAATAATCATGTCTCCAACTGGACACTGATGGTCTTGGTTTCTTGGTCCAAAACTGATAAGCAATTACTCTCAGAACTTGGCCATTAAGATTGAGGAGTGGAATGGGTAATGATATTCCCAACAGAAATGAATAAATCAATTTGGAAAATGAAGATGGCAGAAACCAAGCAGCACTGCTGCAAAGAAGCATGCGGGACTGAAGATCATAGATTATGCAGCTAAAAAGAAAGGGAACAATTTGCATGAATAAGATCCACTTAAATACAGGTGTACCGGAAAAAAAAAAAAATGTGAGGAGTGCAGGAAATGGGATTGGGAAGTTCTTACTATTCATCCTTGAGGAAAAAGAAGCACTATCAAAAAAATATGGCAAATGTGGGAGGAAAAAAACGCTAAGAATGTGGTCTTCTGAGAATATGTGGAAGATCAGAGGCTGAGAAGTCCAGACAGTAAAATCCAGACACATTTGGGTACACTTAAATGAAACTGAGGTGAGCCATTTTCTTCCCTTTTATTTCCCTTTGGAGAGCGTTTTTGAGAAGATTAAGGGCCACTTCGTGACATCCTTTAGGCCCATTCTGGAATGATTTGATTTGCAGACTCATTTTTGTAATAAGGGGAGTTAGACATTAGTCTTAGGATTTTTGAAATCTTAATGTTCACCTAATGCTGGACATTGAGCAGGTTATATCCAAGGTCCGAGATCTGGGGAGCATCTGGATCTATCAAGCAATTTTTCCAAGGTCACAAGTGGGTGTGAAACCAAGAGCACTCAGTGAAAACACCAATTTATGAATAAAACACCAACGAAAAATCTCTGAATTGGAGCAAAGATAATATTTTAAGGTTTGCTTCTTCGGATTTTCTTAAAGATACCCATTTATTTTGGTCTGTTAAACTAATGAGAGGGGTCTGAACTGACAGCATTATAAACAACTTTGTAATGGGGAAGTACTTAACCAATATAAGCCTTTTTCAGAGTTTACTTCTTTGAGCTGTGCACAAGGTGCCACACCCATGCTTCAGACAGCCATCACTGCATCAAAAAAAAAAAAAATCCAAGAATTGGTAAAACAGCTTGTTCTGCTTTCTCACTAGCTTGTCTCTCTTCTCACTGTGTAACCCCAGGAGTCCAAGGAAGCCACTTTTATTAAAGGAGGATGTCACTAGATTTGGCTGTGTGGAAGAAGGGAGGAAGAGGAAAAGGAAAACCCTCCCACAATGGCTCTGTGGTGAATTCCATTGCTTAACTCCCTCACCACTCCATTTTGGACAACAAGAAAAAAGAGTCTATCCTTGAGCCCAAAGTCACATCCTTGGGATTCAGCTAGAATGGAAGTGCTACCAGAGACAAGGGGGCAAGCTGAGGCTTACCAGAAGATGTATCTTCATGTCAGGCGCAGACCCTTTGTACTCCCCAGGCAACTGACTCCCAATAAGCCTTCCTTAGCTCTCCACCTTTACAGACTTCTCCTTCCTCATGCAGAGGCACTGCTGAGCAAAAGCCGCCTGAGTGGTATCTGAAGACCAACGTCTGCTGGTGCACACAGTCAGGGAGCCACAAAGACAGTGTGATCCTGCCTTTCCTCCCTCAAGGACTCTGCAGCAAGGAGTATGGCTTCAGGACACTGCATCCCCTGAAGGCTCCCACCAGTTCCCCTGAGCAAGTCTTGGTCAGAGACCACATCCAGAGCCCTCTCCCAGGCCCAATTAGGTCGAGATCCACCCCAAAGCATCATTACAGTGGGGCTGCCAAGCAAGGAAGCCACACCCTGAAATCTGGGGATTCAGTGGAAATCAGCTCCTGCAGCAGTCTCAATCCCTTGTCCTCAGCCACTTGTTTAATCATCACATCTATTGAGCATATTCTATCTGCAAAGCTCTGTGCTTGGCACCTTAATGCAACTTATTAACAAATGTACATTCTTGCCTCTGTCTCTTCATAATACGTCTTCCCAAATAAAATCCCCAAAACAGATTTCACGATTCGAAGCTTTGTGACCTTGGGCAAATTACTTAACCTCTCTGAATCTCAGGTTCCTAATGCTTAAAAGGGGATAACTTCACAAGGCTGTTGTAAGGGTTATATGAGATATTTAAACATACCTAGTATATAGTGGCTGGCACATTTGTGCTCAGTAATCCTACACATCCTTTCTCCCTTCCTTCAAAGGACTTTCTCTTCCATGACTTGCCAGACTCAGTTATTCCACTTTATCTTACTGCTTCCTTCTGGATGGTCAAGCCCAGGACCTCAAATCTCTTTTTGCTTCAGAGGCCTCACTGGTTCGCACCCTTACATTAGACCCTGTGCTCTTACAGCACTTCTTGCATGCACTAATCCAGCTGGGAACCAAGTGGGCTACCACAGTGAAAAGAAATCCTAATGGGAGGCAATCGACAAAAGCAGTAGCCCCACAGGGCCCCATCCTGTTGCCCATGTTGGGGGGACACATGTGACAGCACATTAAGCCCTACAGGGGCTTTCTGGTATATAGGATGTCACTCCTGGCACAGCAACCCACAAAAGATCCCTCTCCCCAGTCAGATGTTCCTTTCGGGCAGTTCTAGGGCCCAGTCTAGTGTCCTCTTTTATGTAACAGGTCTTTCCTGGGCGGGGGGGGG